AAATCCTCATCAAATATGGACACGAATTGATATGGCATGGATGAATGGGGAAATAGCAAATGAGATAAAAGGGATTGAAATTTTACCTAATGAATGGGCAGATCACAATCCAATTCAGATAATATGGAAGGGTAGGGAAAAACCCAAGAAAAGATGGACGTTAAATACTCAGTTAATATGAGCTCTGCAGCTTTTAAGAAGGAAATCCAAATCCTTCAGCTTCTGAGATGGCACTTTCATATGGAATGGCTTTTTCCAAGTCCTAGATTTTCAAATATTTATTGCTGATGAAAGCTGTAAAACCAAGGGCTGATCCAGTCAACTGAAATGCTGCTAGCAGAAAACAGAATAACAGAGTTGGAAGGGAACTTGGAGGTCTTCTAGTCTAACCCTCTCCTCAAGCAGGAGACCTTATACCATTTCAGACAAATATGATGTCCAGTTTCTTCTTAAAAGCCTCCAGGGATGAAGCACCCAACACCTTCTGAAGATAACTTCTGTCCCACTGATTTTTCATTTTTTTTAATTTGTTTTATTTATACAACATGAAAAAATTCAATTTCAACCAAACAGTGTGTTGTCTGGGTACAATTGTTTTTAGGAAATCATAATCAAAATGCTTACAATAATATTCATCACAATGATGTTAATTCTACAATAACCATAACCATAACAATATTTTACTTGTCTACATTAACAAATCTCCTTTATAACATTGGTCCTTTTTGTACCCCCATATTTCTAACTTCTTTTTATTGTCTAAACATTGGTAAAATAAGTCCCATGTCAAGAAATATTCAGTTCCTTCCTTTTCCTGAATTATAAGCATTAATCTGTCCATTTCTGCACATTCTAATATTTTTTTTAATTTACACTCTTATCTATCGGGATCTCTTCACTTTTCCATTGTTGTGCAAATACAATTCTGGTTGCAGTTGGTACATGTAAAATCAAATATATATTCCTTTTGTCATACTTTTCCAGTAGGATGCCCAACAAATATATTTCTGGTTTCAAATGTATATGTTGCTTTATCATTTTTTCCAACCAAATATGTATTTTTGTCCAATATTTTTTTTTTGCTTTTGGGCATGTCCACCACATATGATAATACAAACCAGGTTTCTGCTTACACTTCCAATATTTAGCGGACCTGTCTTTAAACATTTTTTCCAGTCTTGTTGGTGAAAACTGCCATCTATAAAACATTTTATATACATTTTCTTTATATGCACTCACAAATTCTGAAGGCAAGCTCTGTGAGGACATTTCTCCTTCGTTCTAGATAAGTCCTTGGTTTTTCAATATCTTTTTCCCACAATAAATTTTGCCGCATCAAACTTTTCTCTCTCTTTTCCTCCAAGTAGGAACCTTACATTGTCTGAGAAGAAATAAACCCAATATCTTATAATGTCCTTGGCAGAAGTCCAAAATGTCACACCTCGGGCTAATAAAGAACGTAACCATCAATCTGTGAATTGAACATTTGCCGTTCTTTCATGGACCTCAGGGCCTGGTCTGGGAAAAGGTCCTTATTCACCAACCAAATGTTGCCAGCAGTGCCCATATTCCAGCTGTTACAGTCACAGAAACATCTATTTTGAAATGGTTTCAGGTAGCCGAAGGTAAAATTTAAAATCCTGGAATGTGTGCTGTCGGAAAAAAAAACAATTATCAAGCAAATAGAGAAGGCACAATCACCCAAAACCCAGTAAAACCTAGAGAGAAAACTCAGATTTTTTTTAAAAAAAAAGATGAAAAAGAATAAAACAGATTTCAAAGCAAAGCAGCCATCTGTGCCAGCCACAATTTCATAATAATCCAGCTCCTAATAGCCTTGTGAATAATCACAGTCAAAATGGCAACAGTTCCTATGTTTTCCCAGCAGTAATTATAGAGGCTTTATGTGGTTTCTGATTTTTGCTTATGGTTCATTATAATTGTGTTTAAAGCTTTCAGAAACGCAACTTTCTTGTGTGTTTGTGTGCGTGTGTGTGTTTATTATATATAACAAAACCTTTCACATTGCAAGATAGAGAGGATACTGTCAGCCAATGATTTCCTGGCAAGGTTCATTTTTTTCAAACACGCATGAAAATCTCATTGAAGGAAATGCATTGTTAGGAACTCATGAGCCCAGAGATCAAAGTTACAAGTCACATTTTGAGGTCCAGGACTATGTTAATTTACTCGTCTCAAAACTAGCCAGGTGAAACAATGTAAGCTGGAGCTTCGTAAGCTTTTATCTGGATTAGTGTCATGCTAGACATCTTTGCTTAAAATTTTGGTCCTTTCTTCCCATCCTTCCTCCTCCTCCTCCTCTTCTCCTCCTCCTTCTCCTCCTCTCCTCTTCTTCTTCTCCCAACTGCTTTGCCAAAGTAAATCTTAGTCACCTCCCATAAGCCCAGAGGTGGTTATTCAGCAGGTTCTGACCGGTTCTGCAGAACCTGTAGCGGAAATTTTGAGTAGTTCGGAGAACCGGCCAATCCCACCTCTGACTGGCCCCGTCCCCTCTATTCTCTGCCTCCTGAGTCCCAGCTGATTGGCTGGGTCTTCTTTGGTTGCCCTGCACAGGAGAACGGAACTGGAAAGCAGGTTAATGGGGTGAGGAGGGAATGGAGATTTTGTAGTAACCTTCCCCTGCCATGCCCACCAGGCCACACCCACCAAGCCACACCACGTCCACCAAGACACACCATGCCCACAAGCCACGCCCACAGAACCAGTAGTAACAAAAATTGAATACCACCACTGTAGTGAATTCCGTATTGGAAGATAGTTTAAGGTGGGCTTCTCAAGAACAACAATCTGGAGTTTCAATTTGCAGAATTCCCAGAAACTGCCCTGTGAGCTGGGATGCCTGGCAGATGCTGTCCAATCTGTCTCGGCGGAGTATCCCACAACCCATTCCCCATATGACTTATGACAGTTCTTTCCCCAGATTCAGGGTCTTCGACTCAGCGTTGTGGAAATGAGAATCAGAGACAATGCTTGTCTTTTCTTATTCCTAGCTTGCCCTGCCTGGGGATCAAAATCGAAAAAGCATGGAATTGGAATCGACCTGTGGAATTAAGCGAAACCTCCTGGAAAGCAGCCAGGCTGTTGACCGGGATTACCAAGCGGCTGTTCGGCAGGACAGGGGACACTTGCTGCCATCGTCCCATCAACCAGATCAGGATAGCAAAGCTGCAACCTTCACCTTAACCAACATCGTGCCCCAGTTTCGGGCCCTCAATCAGGGACAATGGAGAGAATATGAAGAACATATAAATACAACAGGATGCCGTGAAACATATATCCTTGTGGGTTCTGTACCTGGGAATAATAAGATCAATAACAGAGTGAATGTACCCAGTCATATCTGGGCTGCAGGTTGTTGTGTGCTTCAAAAAGGCAAAAGATCCTGGGCAGTCATTGCTAAAAATAACGAGAATAATGTAGTCTATCTTACCTTGGGGGAGCTGCAAGGACAACTTGCTAAACACTACGGGAAGAAAACAATTGATCTTTTCAATAATGCTTGTTAACTGAGCTCCCAGAGCAAATGAAAGCAAAGTACAAACCTAACAGCTTAGTTGTTCTACATATGGAAGGAATGCAGTTAATTTTAATTCTGGTTTGATCTTTCTTTTTCCTGCTAAATGTTGTGAAATTCCAGGCTGTTTGATTAGATTATGCTTCAGATTATTTAGCAACAGCAGAAAATAAATGAATCCAATAATCAGGTGAAGGGCAACGTACCGACGCATCTAAAACAGGATCTTGTTTATTTGAGTTTAGAGGTTGGATGGGCTTTATGTGATTTCAACCCATGCATAATTTGTTAAAAAAAGAAACTGCAGCGGGAAGGAACAATTTTCAATCCAATGGGCTGTGTGGGAGTGAAGACGCCCTATAGGAATCCAATTTGATTTTATGCTATATAACGCTTATATTTGCTACAAGTAGTCCTCAAGTTATGACAATTTGTTTGTATGGTGTTATGTCAATGCTGAAAAAAGTGTCTTGCACGCAATCCTTGTATGTATGACT